GCCAAAACCTGCTTAGGTTTCTCAAAGATGCTGCATTATATGTCTTAAAAGCAAGTGCAAGTTATAAGATGCAGTCCTAAATTAACAGATGTTGATAATAATATGTAAGAATGAAAAAAAACTTGCCTTCTGCAGCTGAGACAGTATTTGCTCTCGAATGCGCCTCTTTTCTTGCTCAGCTCGTTCTCGAAGCTTGTCCCTGGCTCGTGCAATTTCAGTTTTGGTTTCCTGGCGTGCCTTCTGATAATCTCTAAGTAGTATCTCAATCTCTGAAGGATGCTGGATTCTCATTTTGGGTTCTTGCACTCTAAAAATAAACAAATGAGTATGATGCCATTCTGCTTTTTTTAAGAATGGCAAACAGTAGACTAAAAGCTGTTTTATAGCATTTAGGCAGAAATTTAAGATAAGAATGTGTGTCTGTTGTGTTGTGTGCTGGCCAGCTGGACTCAACTTTTACAGCAACTGGGTCTTTCTATATAACTGAGATATTTAAGATATGGTCTTACCAGTTCCACTTCGACCCACCCACCCAGTGTCCATGGCTGCGCATGGGTTCAAACCCAGGTCTCCTGAGTTTTAGTCTGTCTCTCTTTGAGCTAGGAGTACATCACACTGAGTAATCGGAAGAATGTATTTTCCCATATTTCTCTCTTTTTCTTTTCTTAAATGCTGTTTGAAGCTTTTCTTTTAGTTTTGCCTTACAAAACATACTTCCCATAAAAGCTAACAGCCACCTTCAAGTCTACTTACAGGAGATGAGTTTCCAGGTCAATTCCACTTTTTCTGCTTTGCTATACTTTATGTTATTGCTACGTGTCTGTCTTCCATTTCTGTGCTGTTACTTCCCAGTATTATGCCTGAACATTTTCAAAAGCTAAAGGAATGTGAAATGAGCTCAAATAAAATGGAATGGTACAATCTTTGGTTACATTAGTTGCAGCCTCTTTCTGCCTCCTCCCTTTCCATTTGGTGAAGATGATCACATGGTGGGTGGGTGATAATATCTTTTTAGTGCAATTCAACTGCTTCCAAATGGCTCTGACAGTTCCTACCTTGTATTCTCCACCACATCTCGTCTCAATTGCTGTAGATATTCACGACGTCGGCTAGGGAAATCAACATCTCTTTGATTTGTGTCCAGTGTTTGCAAAAGATGCTTTTGTGGACTGAGACTTCGACTTCTTCTGAAACACTGAAGCCTTTCCTCTCTCTGTTTTCTCAGTATTTCAATTGACTTCCTATGTCTATAATGAAGATGAGAAGCAGAGTTCACAACTTATACAAAAATCGGCATTATTTAAATTGTTAAAGTAACTGGAGAGGAAGAATTTCTAGATACTAGAACTAGATATTAGAGACACTAGGAATCATTATTCAGAATTAAGTTCCACCATAAGAAAAAAAGGGGTTTGTTCTCATCATATGTCTGAGATTACTGCAGAAAATGGGATGTGGCCCACAGAGGGTCTTGGTCTTCACCCATCAGGGAAGTGGGTGGGGGAACAAAGCTGGGTCCAACAAGGAGAAAAGTTTCACCCAGCACTTTGGCCAAGAATCCAATTGGCCATTCCTCTGACAGCCTCTGAAAGATGGGAGAGCCTAGTCTACTGCCCCATTTTAGACTTCAACATGCAATTATAACCTTACTTGCTAAGATGTTGTCAGTACAAAGTATTTTCATTGCTACCATGGCACTATGTATAATAAATGCTTTATCCGAAGCTGGGACAACCAGCTTGAGATTTGTGGCACAAAACCCTAACAAACTAGTTTAAAAATGGTATAACCTTGAGTTTTAAAAGAACATTACATCTTGGAATGTTAACTAGAAACCCTGATTAATTCTGTTAGTTTTACACCTTGGGTTGTGTTACAAAAACTTGTAAAACTACTATAGAATTTTGCCAGAGGTTTCATGGGCTTAAGAAACTTTAGGAGTCATAATTAACACAGTATTATTTAACATCTCTTAAATAATCAGGCATCTGCACTGCAGGGCAGTGAATTACTTCTTTCAAAGTGGGAGGTTTATTTACATTGTTCATCATTATTCAAGGAAAAAAATTCTCATTATAAGGAGACAAGATACAAGAATGCTCTTGAAAAATGTAGTTTTGTGTTATATCTCTCCATTAGTAGGACTGTCTGCTTAAAGAGCCCCATTACTGCCAGCCAGTCCTCTACTATGAGAACATATAAAGTCATTCACCTTTCATAGAGTTGCTGTTTTATGGGCACAGATGTCAAATCCTCGGTAGTTCCACTCTGAAGAATCCTCAACTGTGCATCCGTTTCCCCAATTCCATAAGTTAGCTTTGCTTCAGTGAGTTCCACAGTCAAAGGATGTTGATTCATATCTAAATGTATGCCAGACATAACCTGGGCACGCTCTCTTCGCAGCCTCTCAATCTCTCTGGCTCTCCTTTCACTAAGCAGGTCTCTCTCCTCTGTTTCAGTAGCTCTTGTGCCACTACTGGCCTTCCTTTCTGAGTGGCTACGGATATCACTAGCACTTCGAGTCACACCACCTAAAGAAGAGTGAGGATCTCCTTTCACACCACACCAGTTGCTGAATTTATTGTGCAGGGGCAGGTCACGAAGGCTGTAACTTCGAAGTCTGTGTGACTTCTTCATGAAGGAGGTATTTTCCTTCAGTAGAATTTCAGTATTACACTCACTTTCAGTTTCGGACTGTGTATCAGTGTCAGCATCAGCATTATCATGCATATTACTGATTTCAGACACTGGAAAAGGACAAGAATTTTGAGTTCTCCAAGTAGGGTGACACTGAAGAGAAAACGAATCAAGTGCACATTCTGGAGTCTCATTAGATTCTAACGATGGTGTACTGGACTCATTTAAAGATTTCTGACACGACCTTTTAGCTGGTAAATAATCACAATTTCTTATACTGCTATCATATTTCATTCCTCCAGAAAAGTTTCTTGCTCTTCTCGTGTCTCGCATCTGATGAAAGGAACATTCAATGGGAATGCCATCACTGTGATCCTCAAGTAAATATTCCCCATGGCTAGAAAGTTCTAAAGTGCTGCTTGAATGATAGAGTCTTTTGGTGTGAATTGCAGTATGAGTGTCAATAGTACATTTTTGTTTTTGATTCAAAGCAGCTATTCCTGAAAGCTCTTTGGTCATATTCTCATCCATCCTATTTGTAGCCACCTTGCATGCTTCTTTACTCTCTCTAGATGTCATAGATTCACTGTCTACCTCCACTTGTGAAGAAGTATCTACCCGTTGCTCCCAAGAATTCAAGTCAAACCATGGACCTGATCCCCTTTTTCTAAAATTGTTTTCTGAATTACTATTATTTTTCAGATGTCCAGCAGATCCTTTCAAAGAACAAAGAGATTTGTCTAATCTAGACTGCTGGCTGACTTTACTGGCACAAAGTGTCAAAATTGGGGAAGAGGCTCGGTCAACTAACAACCTATTTTTAGAGGATAGCTTCCTGGTTTCTGCAATGCTAATTTTAGGAACAGGTTGCTTATCTTGAGGGTAGTATGCTGAAGACAGGCAGAAGGTAGAGGCAGGACTGTTTATAGTGGTTTTAGGCCCAGGCCTAGAACCAATTGAAGATGAAACAACAGAAGAAATTTTGGGTTTGCTAAAACCAAGTTCTGGTGGAGTATTTAATTGTATTTTTGGCACTTCAGATGATGAGCTCGAGTTTTTGTTTAAGGTAGGATGAGACCCATAGGAATCTCCTTGAATATCAGCATCATGGCTTCTTATGTCAGGCACACTGTGCAGGATCTGTCCTTTGCTTTCTGCCATTGTCTCTTTAGTCAGAGTTCCAGTATTTGGGTGTACTAGCTTCACAATGACATTTACCTTCTGAGGCTTCATCATTTCACCTTCCACACTGGTACTGATTTGGCTTTCCTTGATCTTACTCTGAGGGTGTCCTAAAATCTCTGTCTGAATGCCGATGTCTTCTGTTGTTTGGGTAGAGCTATTGGACATGGTGGCTTTAATGCTTTCTTCAGCAGCTTTGAGACAAGTTTGTTCATTATCTTTAACAGTCTGTAAGGACAGATTTCCTAGTAACTCAGAAGTGTTGTGAAGCAATTGTGAAAGGTGCAGGGAAAGATTTTGCACACTTGACCAAGAAGAAGGCTGTTGAAATGAACTCTTGCTCACCTCTGACTTTCTTGCAGATATATCTGTGTAGCTTCTGCGGTGCCTCTTCTGTCTTTTATGTTTTGCTGGAGCATCTGTTTGTGTTTCCTGTTCACAAGTGAGTGCCCTCTGTTGTTTATTGGACGATGTATCTGACCCAGAAGGATAAAGTAAAACAAATTCATCAACTTGCATGGATGTGTTTTCAGACTGTTGAGAGCACCCCATATCTGGAAGGATATTTTCACAACTGGAATTGACGTTTACTGGTTTAGATTCAAGTTCATCATGAGATACATTACTATAATGCTTGCTGCTTTCATCTGAATGTATAGATTCAAAACCTTCCCTTGCGACATCCCATCCTTGGAGATCATCTGTGCTGCTTATGGTACTGGACAACATTCTTGCATTGGCATAAGAACTGAGGTGAGAATGGAAAGGGGAGTTTTGAGAATTCAAGTCATTATCCACACTGGAACATCTCATGACTGTTTGATTATCTAAACTCATTGGAGGTGGGTTACTACAGACGTTGCTTGCACTTCCAAAAACATACTGTTTCCAACCAATTTTGCAGCATTCATCTTGTTGCCATGGGTGAACATAAGGGTTGATATCACTTGAAATAAAGTGCATTGCATCTTTATTGTCTTGAATAAGCTGATTGGTTACTTCCATCTGATAGCTTACTTCTTCATTTCTTCCCATGTTGTATCCATGCATTGAAGTAACATTATTTATGCACCTTTCTGTTTCTGTATCCAGACAATTGCCAATAATTTGGGCAACAGCTACTGGATAATGAACAGGGGAGGTATCTGAAGGACAATCATCTTGAGATACTTCACTACACTTTATTTTATCACACTGATTAGATGTCTGGGCTTGACTGGCTTTCTTTTGAAATCTGGATCTATATTTAAGAGGCACAACACTGTCTGCCTTTGCTTTTGATAAGCTTTCAATTCTGTGCAAGTCATTTTCAGTTGGAGATGGGGGCTCAACACTCATATTTAATTCTTCTAATGACTTAGAGGCATTATGACCAACAAAGTCTAGTTTAGAAGATTCTGAACCACATTCAGAATTACACATTACAACAATAGTTGGTGCTGATAAACTATGACTCTGTAAACCTGGCCGCCGCCCATCATCTTTGCTTCTGTTTGTATTCTGTGAAATAAAAATGTTGCTTTCATTCCTAAGCACCTCTTTTGCAGAGTTTTCTTGCCAAGTTGAACACCTGCTCCCTAATGTGAAAGATGTTCTCTCATTTATTAATGGAATGCTTAGCTGTTCTGAAGAAGAAAAATCATTTCTGTCCATCACTTCACATGTAATTGTATGATTATCATCTCTGTTTGCAGTAGGGATACCTACTATAGCAACCTTGCCACTCAGTTGTGTTGTACTTTCATCTCCTTGTAAATCAAGTCCTGAATTCGAAGTGGAAAACAAAATTTTACCAAAGTCTTCAGAACCACCCCTTTGCAGGGGACCTGTATCTCTGGGTTCTGGACAAGTGTTTGGCTTGTGATAGATCTCAGATGTACACATATCGAAACAAAATTTTACCAAAGTCTTCTGAACAACCTTTTTGCAGGGGATCTCTGGGTTCTGGACAAGTGTTTGCCTTGTGATAGATCTCAGATGTACACATATCTGTGCCACTGCAATCTAAATGAGAATTAGACTCTGTTTCAGAGAGCGGGAAATATCTATTTTCTTTTGCAAAAGAAAGTGAACTTGTTTCTGATGCACACAATTGCTGCTTATGCATCTCAGAATCACCACCGTTACTTTCCTGCACCTGGCTAGTAGCCAAGACTGAACAGCTTGAGGTAGAAGCATATAAAGCAGCATGACTTTCATTTTTGCTGTGACTCGTGGTAGAAATAGGAGAAGTTTCGAAAGATGAGGAAGAAATATTTGGGAAACCCTGGTGACAGATGGATGGATTTTCTTGTACCTGAATTGATGCCGACAAAGGAGAAGCCAAAAATATCTCCTGCTGCGAGTCAGCAATAGGCTTATACACTGAAGGTGGTGATTCTGGGGGGTCACAGTTACCTGCATTTTTAAATACAGTACAAGTGGAAAAACTTTCTGTATGGCATAAAGGAGGTGGTGTTGCTTCATCACAGCTTGTTTGTTTTAAACCTTGGTTAATAAGCACATTTCCTTCTTGGAAACAGATTTCTATCCTGTTTATAGCTTTCTCAGATTGTGACGACACATACTTTTCTAGGTTATGCAGACTGGTAAAATTGCCCTCTGCTGTTGATACGATAACATCAGCTCCTTCATAGTTCAAATATTCACTTTTATCAAAATCTGTACACTTGTCTACTTTGCATTCTAATAAAAATTTTGGATGCAGAGCTGAACTGTTCAAGTAAGCAACAGAAGATTCGGAGCTGTAAGAATTTATGTTACACCTGGAAGCAATGTCTTCATCACGATGAAAATTTTCCCAAAGAGCTTCAGCAGCATGTCCTAAAACATTTACTCCATCCTCAGGCATTGCCCCAGAATCAACTGAATGCCCTACACTGAGATCATCAAAAGGTTTATGTATAAGGATATCAGTAGTTTCTTTCTGGCATCCCAACTCTTTAGTAAATGTTCCACTGTTTGTTTTGTATTCTGTCTCAATGTATTCAGTATCTGGACATTTATTTGTCTGATTACATTGCACAAAAGAATTTAACTCTTTCTGAGTAACAATGCTATTAAGATACTCTTGGGAAGAAGTCTCTGATAACAAAGCTGCTGGTGGTGAGAATGATATAGCATATTCTTTCTGATGTATGTTGAATGAATTTAAACATTTTTCTGAGTTTTTATGTTCTCTTCTGTCATATTCTCCATGAGCCTTTCCCAAATCATAATCTGTACTGTTGAAAGATTTTGCTTTCCTTTGCATGACATTGACAGGAGAAAAAGCTAGCGATTCGTCATATTCTGCAACATACGGTTTTGAACATTTTTCATCCTTAATATGAATTTGCTCAGATGCACTGTAGTTAAAAGATCTACTGAATACTGGATCTATCTTCTCCTCATGATTTTGCTGCAGCTGATCTGGAGAAAATTTATTTTGCATGACGGTATCAAAAATTGGATCACTTAATTCTCTGTCATTAGTGGGACACCGCATTCCAGCCTGCATGCTACAATCAATTTGTGTTTCACGGTACTGGAGGTCTTCTTCAGTGGTAGTACTATTACTCAATGACACTACAATACTGCTTGATATAGAAGGATCACCCATCCAACTTTCTCGATTTGTATTTACTGAAGGCAAAAAAGAACTACTTGCAGGGTGATGGGAAAATCTTGTAATGGCCACAGAAGACAACCCACACTTTTCATTTATTATTTCTGATGGATCTGTTTGGTTAACAGGTACTGAATCACTAACAATACCAGTATTATTCCTTGAAAAACTGTGAGGTATGCATTGCATTTCTTTTGATACTTCACTTAACAGGGTGTCACTGTGTGACCAGCTACTATCTCTATTTTCTAGTACTTCTGGATTTCCACTATTTTCTTCCAAATGTTCCCTAACATTTTCTGTCTTACAAGTATATGTGTTTTGTTCATCAGTATTCTGGCCTGGTACCTCAGTTACACCCAATTGTACTGGGGCTGTTGGCTGTATTATTTCTCTTCCCTCAGGTATGCAGTGAACTAGTCTTTTCTCAGCAAAGTGTAGATCATGGTGTTCTGAAATACCATTAGGAGAATAATCTGTAGAAAGAGAACTTGATACATTAGCAGTCTCAACACTGTTGATGTGTTTGAACTCTTCAGTACTCTCATGCTGTCCAGCCACAGCTCTGCTATTATCTGAATCACCATTGTTACTATCGTTTTTCACTGCTTCATTCAAAACACCTATATGCTTCCTAAGATTTGCTGATCTTTTCTCTTCATGTGTTTCATTAGCATCAAGACACACTTCAAGTAATTGACACACATCATTTTGTTCTTCTAGTGTAGAAATATTGGTGTCTGTTTTTGTTCTTTCAGTGCTATCTAGATTTGTTCTATTGTTGTCGGCATCAGAGTTCATAAAACCATGAGATGGATTATCTGGCAGTAACGCAACATTTCCATCAGTGTGCAGCTCAGTTTCTGCTGTATCATTTTGTTCTTTGCTCCCATCAGCTTCTTCTTCTTCAGCCATTTTAGGGTACATTATCAAGCTTTCTAATACCGAGGTTTCATTGTTGGTAGAATAATTTTTATCTTTTTCATTACAGTTTAAAACGTTTTCTTGTCTACTTTCTGTGGTTATTGCAGTCACTGTTGATTCGGAGTACAGGATGCTTTCCATAGTTCTGTCAAGTAAGTCTATTGTATTTTTAATTAAAATAGATGAGTTGGAACATACAGCTGGTACCGTGCTGTTAGGGCTTGCTTCTGTGCCTACAGAACAATCATCTTCATCTGTGTTTCCTTCAATTTTATTGTTACTTATAGCAGTTACTGAAATATTAGTAGCAAGCCCCATTGCTAGTTTTGATACATTTGTTTCTTCTTTGCTATTCTCAATCAAAAAGATTTCCTCTTTACCTGTTTCTTCATATACTACTGTTTCAGGCAGTTTCTTGCAACACTTGTCACGATTGTTGCTTGGCGACTGAATCACACTGCAGCTTCTGGAATTTCTACTGTCCTCTGCTGTTAAACTTTGCGATTCAACTGCAAGATAATTCTGTAAACATTTATTCTGTTTATGTTTCATTTCTAAAATGTCACACTCCAGCTTATTGACACTTTTTATTAATTTAGCAAGTTCTTCAGAGTTTATTGACTTTTCTTTATGTTCACCCTTATTCTCTTCAGAAACAGATTTTTCATCACATTTCCCCAGTCTAACCGAGTCACGATAACGAACATTTGAGTTTGGTTGTGAAGTGAATTTATCATCGGTTTCATAAGGCCAATTGGATGAATCTTTTTTCTCCCTTATGTCCGTATTAGAATGCACTGATTTGTCAGTCTCTGAGTCTCTACCAGTGAGTGAAGGTGTACCTTTGCAGGAAAAAGAAGTCATGTTATAATGTTTCCCTTCACTGCTCTTCTTAACCATATTTTCAGCATCAAAACCTAATGAGATTTTTTGGCTCAACTTGCTTCCAGAAAAGCCAACACCTGAACCCAAATGAGAATCACAAAGTATGGTTTTAGTTTGAAATTCAAGATTATTTGCTGAATGCCATTCTTTATTTTGTCCCCGTTCTTCTTCTGCCTCTCTAAATGAAGGAACCTCTAATGCAGATTCTGTTAAGACATCTCTATTTCCCTGTACACCAACACTGTCAGCCTCAGACGTCTGTAGTGGAAGAGCAGACTGATTGCTGCAGAGAAAAGCTGTTGACTTAGTTTGATACGATTTACTTTCTGAAGCAATTTCTTCCACAGGCACCTGTTGGCATCTTGTTTTCTGCATCACATCAAAGTTATTTCTACCATTTCTTAGAAAGTATTTCTCCCCAACATTAGTAGCAGAATCTGCATGCTTGCTTAGTGTGTCACACAGATAGTAACTTTCATCATCAAATAAACTTTTTTTCTCATTTGAAAACAAATATTTAGAGGCTTGATGTTTTTCTTCTGTTGAAAAATCAAGTGAAGTCAAGTCAGGGGAGTTAACTGGTAATGTGCCAAAGGATTTACCAGTGGTGCTGAATTCAATAAGTTTTGAGTCTCTTGTGCTACTATCAGAATCAGAATCGGCTTCTGCTTTTTCAATAGTCCTGAAGAGGCATTCTTCAAAGTCAGCATGAACACATGTTTCTCTTGAAGTTTCTGTCCTGGAAATGAAGCTGTTTTCTAGATCTTGATCCTTAGAAATCTCAGAATAAACTGAAGAAGCAGAAAGGTCAAGCTTTGCTGATACTTGAGATGAACTACCAGTCCCAGCATGTTCTTTCAAACAACTAGATATTTGCGCAGATACATCAGTAGATTCACCCCCAGACAAATCATCAGGTTGCTGACAAACAGACTTAAGAGAAGATGCAACTTCACAGTAACTATATTTTGTAGGAAATCTAGATAGAGATAATGATGATGTAGCTCCTGCACTTTCAATCTCAAGTTGCTTCCTTGTTTCTGGTAAAGATAATGATGGTTCTCCAGATGAAAGTAGCATTTCAATCTTCCTTGGCTCACAAGAAGGCTGGTGTGGTGTTTTAGAGCAGGAGAAAAATGACATTTCAGCAGCTGACTGTCTCAGATCATCTTTCTTCATCCAGCAGTTTGACACAGAATGTAGCTGTGCAATCTGAAACTCTCTATGATCTTGAGAAGAACACATTGCCATTATCGGGCTGCTCTCTCCAATTTTAGAGTCATAGGACAACCAAGCTTCTGGCAAGACTGGAACATTTTCACCTGTAGAGTGTGACCTTTCATCAAGTGAGCCTTCTTGTTCACAAATATCTACTGACTGATCCTGAATATTACTGAAACTGGAATGTGCATTAGTATCCAGGTAAAAAGAACTGGAATTCTGGGTCAAGTTATCAGTTATTTTTGCTGTTTCATTAATGATCTCAGGATTGTGATGTTTGTTGCTGTTTACAAACTCTGATTTTAAAATTTGCAATTTCCAGAAAACCTCAGCAGGCACTTCATCACATGATTTAAATTTTGATTCTTCTGCAAGATCTTCTCCTGATGCTTCATCTGCATCACCTAGACTATCCAGAGAAAAACTTCTCTCATTCACAGTCAGATTACTGTTTGAAAGAGATGTGTTTCCTATCAGTGAAAGAGGCTGATAATTGCTGTCTTTGCAAAATTTAACAGGTTCTTGATGGACCTCAGGAAAATACTGTATGTTTTGGCATTCAGTTTTGTTTACTTTTTCTGCAAGAGAATCTTGGGACATCTGGCTGTCATCACTTTCAGAGTCTTCAAGGTTGGCAGTGTCAATTTCAGCTGACTCCTCCTCAAGATTCAGCGGCTCTGTGAGGACTTTAGCATTATCACATGAAAGAGAGTCCACAGAATAATTACTGTCAGTATCAGAAAATTCCACGTCTTCATCTTCTTGCCAGGTTCTCAGCAGACCAGGAGCTGTTTTTGAGATTCCAGCACTCAATGCCTCAGCACTATGCCACCTTTTTTCACCATAACATAGTGGTGCATGGTTGTTTATGCTGATAAGGCTTCTTGTTGAAGATGCTGTTTTCAAGTGTTGCTGCTGTTCCACTGACTGACTGTTTGCTAAAACACTTTTCAGGTTCTTTCCTTTTTGGCTCAGATGTTGTACTGGTGATTTACCACATACTGCTGATTTTTTCAGTTCCTTGATGGAATTTCCTGGAAGAGAACTTGGGCGCTTTTTTCTTTTCTCCATTCTGATCTTTCTACCAGCTTCCTGAGCTTCACTCTTTTCTAAGTGCTTCTCTGCATGCTGGTTTGAGTTTTCCAGGGTCTTTATTTTAGCCACCTGTTTCACTGCTTCAGATTCATACTTTCTTTTAAAATGGTCAGATGACTTCAAAACCGGGGCTTTTAATCTGGTTTGCCTTGGTCTGTTACTGGATTTTTCCATAGTTTGGTTATTTTTACAAATATAAGAAAAAACTTCGGTATTGCTTCTATTCGTTATCTCTATTCCTTTATTTTTCAAATAAAATTTCAGATTTTTTATTAGCTGCCTTTGGATTGGGAAGGAGCCATCTCTCTCATCGTGAATGTTGCCTCTTTTACTAAGGTCTTCAAGTGTTCTGTTAAAATATTCTGCAGGCACTGATCTCCTTGGTGGATTGACTTTAGAAAATTTGTAGCTGTGTTCTGAGGTAGATAACTGAGAGGAATCTCTCTCTGGGGAAAAACTGTAAAAACAGAAACAGCCATAGAAATCAATCAACCTTGCATATTCTATTCATTAAAATATTTTTAAAAATTATTAAAACATTGCTTTCAACGTTATATTTGCTACAATAGAAATAGAATAGATGATTGTCCTCTAACAGATTTCATAGCTTCACAAGTTGCAAATCAACATGCTTTTGTCTGTCATTCGGTTTTGTTTGCATACTGACTTTAAAAACACAATAGTTTTTTTAGAAGCACCTCCAGTGGGGTGTGTTATTGTCTCTTGACTTTTTTTTTTTTGCATTGAGTGACAGGTACAGGGGGCCAGACTCAAGGATAAGACTTGAAAGAATAAGCATGCAAGTCAACCAAATAGAGTAACTCTTTCCATCACTCAAATGACTTAGCAACCAATCTATTAGCTACTTAACAAAGGAACTAGCTCAATTATCATCCTAATATTTCAAATCTCTAGAAAGCCTTGGAGGCTGCTATCAAAGAATTGGCTGACCACCAATCTTAATATGACATGAGTTAATTTAAGATCAAATAACTAGTGTGGCACAGTGGATAGCATGTCAGTCTACCAGTGTTTTGATTATGCCTCTTTTTTGTTGTGGGCAAATCGGAACTGTGAAGCTCAATTTCTCAGCACCGAACTCAACCATCTAAATTGGGCCCTACAGGCAAATGGCTATTACAAGAATGAAATCACAAGAGCCATCAAACCAAGAAAACAACACCAAACTGAAGAGGAAAAACAGCCACCCACAAATAAAGTATTTTTGCCATACATCAAAGGGGTCACGGACCTAATGGGGAAACTGAAAAAACACAACCTACAAACAGTATTCAGGCCCACCACAAAAATCCAACAAATGTTACAGTCAGCAAAGGACAAAAGGGACTCCTTCACCACTGCAGGAGTATACTAGATACCTTGCAGTTGTGGCCAGGTATATATTGGAACCATAAAATGCAGCATCCACACCAGAAACAAAGAAAATGAGAAACACCAGACTAAAACAACTAGAAAAATCAGCAGTAGCTGAACATGCCCTGAAACAAGCTGGACATGAAATTCTATTTCAAAACAAAAAGTACTGGACAACACCGGCAATCATTATGTTAGACTGCACAAGGAAGCCATTGAAATCCACAAACATCAGCACAGCTTCAACAAAAAAGAAGAATGTCTATAACACAACAAAGCCTGGCTCCCAGTACTGTAAAATACAGCCAGCAAAAGGTCAGCAAACTACTCAGGCACTAGGACCAGTGATCACTGGACACCAAAGACCAGCTAATGACACCCATCAATCACAGTGACAGATAATCCCTCCCCTTATCACAACAATGCACCCACAACAAAAAACACGCTGATTACCACAATCACCCTATCTCCTGAAAAGGACAAAAAGCTGATTCCACAGCTATAAGTACTCAACTATCCCACAAAACTGCACCAGAGCACAGACAGATTTCTGACTCCTGTCCTCTGAAGATGCCGGCCAGGGACTGGTGAAACATTAGGAAGAAGAACCTCAAGAACTCAGCCAGACAGCCTGAAAAACCTAGAACAACCTTTAGGTTTCTGCTTAGTTGTTTTTAAATGAATTTTATTCTGCTTTTCTCCCAGGGAAGGGACTTAAGGTGGTGGCATGACATTCTTCCCCAAGAAGATACAGTGGTACCTCGCTAGACAACCTCACAAAACGATGAATCTGCATGACGATGAGGTTTTGCGACCGCTATAGCGATTGGCAAAACAGTGATTCCAATGGGCAATTTTCGCTGGACGATGTTTGGGTCCCTGCTTCGCAAACCAATTTTCGCAAGACGCCGATTTTGCCACTGATCGGCACTTCGCAAAAGGGGTGTTTTCGGGACCAATGCTTCGCAGGGCAGCCATTTTGACAGCTGATCGGCGCTTCCCAAAATGGCTTCCCTATGGGCGATCTTCGCAGAACGATGAGGATTTTTCCCCATTGGAATGCATTAAACGGGTTTCAATGCATTCCAATGGGGAAACGTTTTTCGCAAGACGATGTTTTCACTAAACAGCGATTTCAATGGGACGGATTATCGTCGTCATGCAGGGCATCACTGTATTCCTTCCCACAAATATTCATACTAGCTACTCACACAATCCCCACGTAGTTGCAGCCACCCCTTTGGCATCTACATCTTCAGTGCAGCCACCACTCCTTGGTGCCACTAGGAGGACACATGTTAGCCTGTTAGCCTAAATACTGTACCAAGTATTCGTGGCTGCCCACTTTGCTGTGACCCAGCCAGAGCCTCCTTGCCTAAGCTGGTACCTATTATATTTTCAGCTGCCAAATGAAAAGCCTTCTCTCTGTTTTAATCTCTCCTGTTCCCTCTGGCATTATGTAACCTTGTATGATGTGGATACAATGCTTTCTTACTACAGACTATTTAGTATCTCCTAAGTAACTCATAATATTAAATGAGAGCTTGGTTCTGAACAAGCTAAAAGGTTTTATTTAGAAAACATACGTAACTGGTAGGGAAGGAAACATCAATTTTAGGGTGTATAAGAAGTATTAGATGCCGGCCACAGAGACTGGTGAAACGTCAGGAAGAACAAACCTCAGAACACGGCCAAAGAGCCCGAAAACCCCACAACAACCATTAGATCCCAGCCGTGAAAGCCTTCAAGAATAAAGCAGGTAAAATGTTAATTAGTATACAGTCAGGGCCAAAAATATTGATGCCCTTGCAATTCTGTCAGAAAATGCAACCCTTTTCTCAGAAAATTGTTGCAATTGCAAATGTTGTCGTAGTCACATGTTCATTTCTTTGGTTTGCGTTGGAACAGCACACACAAAAAAACAGAGAAGTCAAATCTGATGCAATCCCACACAGAAACCCAAAAATACACTGGCCAAAATTATTGGCACCCTGTCTAAATTATAAGAAATAATTGCTTTTCAAGCATGTGGCACTCCTTTAATTTGTATTTAGATACACCTGTCACAAGTAAGAGGTGTGGGCAATATAGTAATCACACTTGCGAGCAGTTAAGATGGAGAAACATTGACTCAACCTTTATTTTATGTGTGACACTAGCATGGAGAAAAGAATGAAGTGTAAAGAGTTGTCTGTGGATTTGAGAGAAAAATGTGGAAAAACATCAACAATCTCAAGGCTACAAGTCCATCTCCAGAGATCTTAACGTTCTTGTGTCCTCTGTGCACAACATCATCAAGAGGTTTACAGCCCATGGCACTGTAGCTAACCTCCCTGGACTTGGACGGAAGAGCAAAATGACTGAAAAATTACAACGAAGGGATGTTCAAATGGTGGATATAGAACCCAGATTAACTTCCAAAAAAATTCAAGCTGATCTGCAGACACAGGGTACAACAGAGTCAGTTCGCACCATCCATCACCATCTGAATGAAAAGGGACGCTATGGTAGGAGACACAGGAGGACACCACTGCTGACACAAAGGCATAAAAAAGCAAGACTGGGGAATGCCAAAACTTATATGACAAAACTACAATCCTTCTGGGAGAATGTACTGTGGACAGATGAGACAAAATTAGAGCTTTTTAGAGCAAAATTACTGAAAAATTACAACAACGGGTTGTTCGAATGGTGGATACAGAACCCAGATTAACTTCCAACAAATTCAAGCTGAGCTGCAGACACAGGGTACAACAGTGTCAGCTCACACTATCCGTCACCATCTGAATGAAAAGGGACGCTATGGAAGGAGACCCAGGAGGACACCACTGCTGACACAAAGGCATAAAAAAAGCAAGACTGGAGTATGACAAAACTTATGTGACAAAACCACGATCCTTTTGGGAGAACTACAGTGGACAGATGAGACAAAAGTCAAGCTTTTTGGTCAAGGACATCATGGCACTGTTTGCAGAAAAAGAAATAAGGCATTCAAATAAAAGAACACAGTCTGTACAGTCAAACATGGTGGAAGTTCAAAGATATTTTGGAGTTGCTTTGCTGCTTCTGGCACTGGATGCTTTGACTGTGTGAATGATATCATGAAATCTGATAATTACCAAAACAATTTGGGGCACAAAGTAATGGCCACTGTCAGAAAGCTGCATCTGCAGCAGAGGTCATGGGTCTTCCAGCAGGACAATGACTTGGGAAAAAAATTCAAAAAGCGCTCAGAAATGGTTACAAACAAAGCACTGGAGAGTTCTGAAATGGCCAACAATGTGTCCATATCTGAATCCCATAGAACATCTGTGGAGAGATCTCAAAACAGCAGTTGGGAGAAGGCATCCTTCAAATCTGAAGACCCTGGAGCAGTTTGCAAAAGAAGAATGGTCCAAAATTCCAGTAGAGAGGTGTAAGAAACTCATTCGTGGTTACAGGAAGTAATTGGTTTCAGTTATTTTTTCCAAAGGGGGTGCTACCAAATATTAAGTTAAGTGTGCCAATAATTTTGGCCAGTGCATTTTCGGTTTCTGTGAGAGAGTGTATCAGACCTGACATTTCTTCTCTCTGTTTTTGTGTTGTCCCAACGCAAACCAAAGAAATGAACATGTAAATACCAAAACATTTGCAACTGCAACAATTTTCTGAGAGAAGGGTTGCATTTTCTGACAGTGTTTGTTTGACTTGTATGCTGCCCACATTCTGCAAGAGTCTCCAGGCGGCTCCCAACATCAATTAAAACAGTTCAGTTAAAAACAGACACAGAAAAACCAATACAGTTACATCTACTCTAAAAAAATAAAAAGCAGAAATAAAAACAAAAACAGTCTAGATCCATGACTCTATCAATTAAAATTAAAATGTTCAATTAAAAAACTTCCAGAACAGGAAGGTTTTAACCTGGCGCCAAAATGTCAGTAACGTCGGTGCCGGTCGGATGTCATTTGGGAGGGCATTCCAAATGGCAGTCGGATGTCATTTGGGAGGGCATTCCAAAGACTGGGGGCAGCTACTGAAAAGGCCCTCCATTTACAGGCCATCTCTCTCACCTCACTGAGATACGGCTCTTTCAAGAGGGTCTTCTGGCTAGATCTCAGTTATTGGGTAGGTTCGTATGGAAGGAAGCAGTCCTTCAGGTATCCAGGGTGTTTTTCTGAGAGAAGGGTTGCATTTTCTGACAGAATTGCAAGGATGTCAGTATGTTTGGCCATGACTGTATGTACCGATTAAACTGATTGAACTTAATGAAAGTTAATGTTAAAGTTACATTAGTTAGAACAGGATATTGCTTGAGAAATACTGTCCAGAATATCTACCTGCAATGTGGTGGCTGTATGTTTAAACAAGTGTTTTGTCTGCACTTTAAGGAGCCTGAAGCTGATCCTGGCTGTGAACATGCGTAGTCCCAAGAGGGTGCTATAATTTCTTGGTTCAGAAAGGGTGAAAGTTTTACATTATCCTCGTTGATCCAGCAAGTAGCTTCTAGTTGTTCCAGGTTTTTCTTGGCCTCTAGCAATTTTTGCTTCTTCACAATCCTTTCCAAACGCAGTTTAACCTTCTTCCGACTCAAATGTCTTTCTGCTTTCTTTAAAGAGTATTTTCGTAAAAGCTCTTGCTGTACCAATTTTTTCTTGTTCTTTACGGTCTGGGAAGGGCCAGTCTCTGATTCCAAAATATTCTGAACCCCTGTTTCTGCATATGTTTTGATTTCTGTTTGAACAGCAGATTCTTGCTGTTGCTGGGCAGCCAGATGTTTCTTTTCATCAATGAGCCATTGCTGATCTAGGAATAGTTAAAACAAAGCAGGGAAATCAAGAAGAGTTACCTCTTTTATTACATTCCTAATCTACTGATAACACAAGCAATCTATTTGAAGAGAATAAACAACTCCAATAGTGTAATGTTTCCTTCAGTTTCAAAATCCTTTGAGTACTGAATAAGGATGGAGCGTCCATAGGCTGTACTAAAAGCAAGAATGTCTATCTCTGGCAGATATCCCTCCAGTCATCTAAAATTTTGTCATACTCTTCTTAATTGTGCAAATCTTTAATAAAGAAGCCCCCTTGAACTTTTCAACTGTTGTGTGAAATCAGCGATGAATCAAATATGAAGAATACCTCACCAAGAAAATTGTGACGGAGTTCCCATTTGAGCATATCTCTATAAACTGGGCCCAGCAAGGGACCCTAACACATGAACTGTAAGAAGGAAGATGTTGTGGAAGATACCAGTGGCAGAGTCACACTGTTGAATTAATCAGCTACCATAACCTGGTACTTCCCTGTTTGTTTACACATTGTGATGGAGCTGTTGGAGGCGACCTGCACAATGGAACGTATGAATAGTCCACAAAAGCCTTAAAAATACCTGGGCCCAGCAAGGGACCCTAACACATGAACTGTAAGAAGGAAGATGTTGTGGAAGATACCAGTGGCAGAGTCACACTGTTGAATTAATCAGCTACCATAACCTGGTACTTCCCTGTTTGTTTACACATTGTGATGGAGCTGTTGGAGGCGACCTGCACAATGGAACGTATGAATAGTCCACAAAAGCCTTAAAAATACCACACACTCCAAGCAAAGTTCCCTCTAAGGTATGTTTGTGTGCAACTCCGCCTCCCTTGACACACTACCAATATCACAAAAGTCATTAATGTCAGGGAGTCAACTTGTGTGGGACACTTTGGAATGGTCATCGTTGATTAGAGTGATCTAATCAAGACCTCGTTCATACAGAAATCAGTCCTGCAAGCCCAACTTTATCTTCTCTTAAAGGACTGGTTGAGAAATGGCCTCTAACCAGTTACTCTCATGGATTTGACTGTAGGCAGCTTCCTGACTGTCCCTTTAAGATGAGGCAAAGGAAATATTTTGTAAAAAAATTAATAACTGATGCAGCACATCAGAAATGGTCTATTACATGGTCTTTAAAAACTTTTTCACTTCTCCTGGCCCTTTGTGAGCAGCAGAGGAAATGATCCATTTACCAATATCCTGGAATGGCTCATTTATTAAGCCACAGCACGATATTGGAAAGTTCAAACCAGAAGACTTGTCTTGGATTGGTTCCAGTGATCATGCATGCTGGAACCAATCCAATCCAAAGTGATCCAACCTGTACAAAAAAATTAGAAGTTCCTGGCAAAGGCTCAAAAAGGTATGAATATGAAAGCTCTTGGAGTGGACTGGTTCACTCCATAAAAGATATTGATTGCCATCTTTAAGAGCGAACTGGCCTGTTTCTGCAGCAGACCAAACAGTGGGATAAACACCTTTGTAGTCAGCCTTTGAGTAATTTCAGAACATAAAGCACTCTGCCTGTAGGGTGTTCTACAATATCCTTTGACAGAGTTCTGTCATCTAGAATCACAGCTATTGCCTTGGCAGGTATTAGACTAATATCTCACACAGCCATTAGTACCAGGCCAGGATCCAACAGCATATTTCTGCTGTTCCACTGCTTCCCTCAGATTCAGCCATTCCCCCATAGTCCTTCATAAAGTTCTCCATAAGCCATAAAAACTTATTCCACAGGGTTAAGAAAACCTTCTGGAGCAAGTTTAAGGTAGCACAAAGGGCTTTAATAAGAGGGAAATTGAAAGAACGTTCCAGTTCTACTGGCATTGGATACTGAAATATGCTACTGGATCTTTGCGTAGTTCAGCATCCAGATCTAAATCTAAAAGCACAAAGTAGCTGAATCTAGTAGTTATGAGTTCAAGAGCATATATTAAAAACAACACAGCAAAACTACTGAAGGTGAGTTAATGAAAACAAACAACTACTACTGGCATTATTTTAAGGATAATAAGAAAATGACAGGCAAAAGAAAGGATCAAGAGTAGAAATGAGAAAACAGTATATTAACAAAATTGGTTGTAAAAATATGAGTGAAAAACAGTGACAGATTTACGTACAAAGTAAGTAAGTGGCATCTCAGAGTTTTTGAATATCATGGCTCTAAATACAAGAATATCAAACAAATCAAGACAACCCCTTAAGGCTAAAAAAAACCCTTTCAGAACATTATAGTTAAAATAGTGCTAAAATACCTCTTAAATATGACGTAAGTTAGATCAACATGCCAATCTGTCTCTGGAAAGTAACATCAAGGGAAGAGGGGAAAAACTCACTTTCTCTGATCTGCTGATTGATTACTGCCTGATCATGTTCTAGTTCTTGCTCAGCTCTAATCTCACCATCCAAGATCTGCTGTTGTAATTCTTCAACATACAATTGTTGTTGCTGGATCTCCCTTCTCTGGAGAACCTCCTGTTTTTTAAACTTTGGCTGACATTCTTCAGAAACAGCATGTCTCCGCTCACTGCCAAAAAATTTGACAAGAAATGTAAATAAGGAAGGTAACATATTTGTAAGCTAGCATGTATTCCTTTAAATCAGACGAAGAATTCAGCTACTAGTGAAGATAGCAAAGAGGATGGCTAAGAGAAAGGATACTGTGTTATGTGTATGTGTAGATCTGCATATGTTTGTGATGTCACAGTAAGGTAGGAATTCTCACTTACGGCATCAAATAAAAAATAATTTTAATACCAATATACCTATAGGTGAAAGAGTCTTTTCTGCCCCATCCAGCTATATTAAACTTAAACAATTTTGTAATATATTCTCTAGCTCCATTGAAGTTAATTATAAACAAAAAAATGCTTAAGTTCTTTTTTTGTAAATTTAAATAAACCTGAAAAGAGAAGATACTTTCACTAAATATTTTCATTACAAAGTTATACAATTATTTATAAAAACCAACTGATTTGGCCTCCTGTTTGTTCTTGGGGAAAAAGCTAAAAATAGCACATGTTATTTATTCTTTTTTGAAGAATAAAACCTGAGGATTTTAAAAAGCACTCAATGTCTAGAAGATTTTCATGTGAAGCATCAAAATGTTACCATTCATCCACATTCTTTCACTGCATGTAGATTTGTGTATTCTCATACCAGAACATTTGTTCTGATGAACTGGTCTGAAACTGTTTATTCCGCCTGACAGCATTAGTGCTTTATAAATTTATAAAATACACTCATATCCACCAGAAGCCTAAACCAAAGTGTTATTTCAGTGTTATTTTTAAACTGCCTTCCCCCTAAAACACATGCGCACACACATTATTAAAGTGGCACAACAGAAAAAGAACACTAAAAATAATTTTTAGAAGGCTTAGTTAAAGAAAGTTACAACCTTTCCCAAAGGACAAAAGAGTGGGAGTCAGCATACTACTGGAAGGAGTGCATTCTACCATGTGGGAGAAATAGTGGAGAAGACCCTTTCCCACATGTCCAACAAATGGGTCTTTGCAGGCAAAGGTGATCTCAAGAGGATCTCTTCCATAGACCCTAAGCTGTGCTTCAAATTCAGACTAGCAAATAATCAGCAATCAATACAGAACATTTTCAAGTGACAAAAGGGTTGCAAGGATCAAGAACAACAGAACCTAGCAATTGTTTTCTGTCCCCCCCTTTTTAAAAAAAGTTAAGACTCTAGCCCTTATAAAGCTAGAGATATGATGGAAGAACTGTAATCAGTGCTCTGACTGGATTTTTCCTGAGGCTGACATCCTGTTCACAGAGCTGCATTGCTTAAGGCTTATGACATCATCAGCATCACCAATTTTCCAGAAGTAAACTATTTCCAATTCCCCTCTTGAGGGTCCTGAGAATCCAATGGAATCCTTGCTGTAGAGAAACTATTGGGGGCTACAGGATAGGGGTAAAACTTTAATTTTTATAAATCACTGCTCTCAGGATGACTTTATCAATGGCAGCAACCTTTGGGGGGGACTGGATTTTTTTTTAATTTCCAAAAAATCACCAGGGCTAATGACATCAACAGTCTTATGTGACACAGCTTTGTGAATAGGATTTCAACAATGGTGAGAAACAAGCCTTTCTGTGATGATCAGAAAATGAGTTAAGTCATCTTCAGTTTTCTCTGGTTATAATCTGGAGAACATATCCTTTAACTAACACCTGAAATCTTTTTGCAAAAGTGCCTGAACTGTTTATATGCAAATAGTACAAAGAATCAATCCATATGGATGAATGCTTGCTGTAGTCCAAAAAATTAACTTTTCAAAGCTGTAGCACTATGCATCTTACTGCATTTTCTGCTTTGAAAGAGAGACTTCGATGACCCTTCCAATTCCTTCCAGCACTAAAACATTACCTTCCAACATTAGCTGAGAGCTTAGCTACATACTGCTTTGAGGAAGCATACAGTTGACCAAAAAACAAAACAAAACAAAAGAACAAAAAAGGGGGGAAGGAGTACTATTTAATAAAACTTTCTATTAATTATTGTTATTGCTGCTACTGATATTGACTGCATGGCTGCTGTGAAATCAGTTTTATACAATGAGTAGGGAGTAATTCTACACATATGCCTTAATATGGCTCTTTTAACTGCTTACTCACTAGACATTCTACTGGATGAGTCTGCTGTGTGTTATGTACATCCAGTTATGTACTGTCAAGCTGCATGCATTTTATGGTAACCCTAATACTGTTTTCAAGGTATATGAGATATTTAAGGAAAAACTCACTTGCACGCCCAGTGAGTTTCTATGAACAGAGACTTGACTCCATGTATCCTAGTTGTTACTATATGTTGGATCACAATAATTATGTGCTATCAAGTCAATTCAGACTTATAATGACCTTTTCCAGGGTTTTCTAGGTATGAAGTTTTACCCATTCTCTTCTGGATAAAGTGTTCTGGGACTGTGCAGCTTGTCCAAAGCTACCCAGGCTGGCTCTCTTCCCAGTAGGCACAATAGGGAATCAAACTCCCAAACCCTCTCCAAAGCCAGGTACTTTAACTCACTGCACTATCCTGCTACACAAGTCTTACACCACAGAAAATGTTCATAGGAAATGGACAATATCTTTAGTCATTAGAAATCAGAGACTGGCAGAATTACTTTCTTAGCCTACATCTCCCAAAATCTCCCAGTCACCATGGTGAATGACTGTTTTGATTTAGGGTTTCTACATTATTTTTTGCATTACATTATTTCCTTAAAATGTATCCCAACTCTATGAATCTCTTTCCCAATATAGTATAGCTGAGATACAAACACTGGATTGGCAAGTGTACCTACGAAAAGTCAAGTATAGTGAATAAAATTAAGCTATAATATTTTCTTGTTATAATACGAGGGGGTGCTGATAAGTATCGATCCTTTCCCAGAAAAAATTGAGCTAGGAAGCTGTAACTGCCATACTATTCTATATATTCCCCAAGGAAACTAAAGCTCAATACTTATCAGTACCCCAGAAAAATTTGAGCTAGGAAGCTATAAATTGCAGGGTGTATTGGCCAATTTGTCTATATCCAACAGTGCAAAAATCAACTACCTATGATAACTTTCATTTTCCGGCCCAAAGTGAACATGGTGGCACCTCCAGAAAAGTTCAATGTGGAAGAGCATAGGACCATAATCAAGTTCCTGTTTCTCTAAGGGAAAGATGCAAAGCA